TGTTGTTGTTGTTGTTGTTGTTGTTGTTGTTGTTGTTGTTGTTGTTGTTAAGCAGCCATCTGCCTCCACACTGGTGAACGGGATTCATTTCTCTCATCCGTATCCTAAGATTCTCCAGAGTTACCCCCAAAATTTGAAAACTGGGAACCTTTCTGAAATGACAGGAGCGACTGAGATGACTTTTTGAAAGGGCTGGCTGAAAAACAAGAGTTGGAAGGGTCCTCGGAGGTCATCTAGTCCAACCCCCTGCCCAAGCAGGGAGACCCTCTACCATTCCAGACGAATGGCTGTCCAAGTCTCTTCTTGAAAACCTCCAGTGACAGAGCACCCACAGCATCTCTTCCCCTGGTTAATTGTCCTCACTCAGCCCCTTCTCTCCTCCTCGTGTTCTCTGCTGAAGGTTGCTTGGTTTCTTCACAAGAGCTATTGTCAGCTTTAAGCTGGATCATGGTCGCCCCGTTTTGAGAAATTTTCAATAGCAGTGGGTACTTTCCAACCATGCAGTGGAAATGTCTAGGGAAGAAGTGTTGCAAGGAGTTGGATGTGGTCCAAAGCTGCTGGACAAACACTGTGTCCTCGCTGAGTTTGCTGTTGATGTTGGGAGATACTTGTGACCCTTCGGGTGCGTTGGGATCACAACCCTCAAGTGTTCCCTGCCTGCCTGGTGAGGGAGTCGCAATCTCTCATATCTATCAACGTAAGGATTATCAGCAATCCCCCACCGAGTCTGTTCCATCTATTTCTCCCTCTTCCACGAAGCATGTAGATTGTTCTTACAGCTCGGCCTTTTACAGATGAGCTGCTATGAATCAAAAGAGGATTTGTCGCTGTGTTGGTGTCCGAAGAATGTGACAAAAATGAATAAGAAGGAGGAAAGAAAACCGGGGCTGCATTAATAAGCAACTTAAAGAAGTTTAATCAAGAAAATGGAAGAGCGGACACTAACTAGAATATTGAATGACTATAAACGAGCTAATTGTCACCGGTCTGTTTCCTGAAGCTATTCTGTTCCATTTGTTTACTGCAAATGTAAACACCACTCAAGAGTGCTTAACCTGAGCCGTTCGATCAACTGAGCAACAACTCCGCTTATTAATCTCTCCACCCGCTTAGAATTGCGCTCTGTTTATACGCCGCATCTGTAAGAATGCTTTAGTCTTCTTCTTTCCACCACCACCCCCGCCCCTTCCTGCCCTCACTTCCTTGGTGGAAGATAAAAGATCTGGCAAGAAGAGAGATTAAGCTAAAAAACTAATATAAGCGAACCCTATTCATCTCCCGGGCACTCGGCACTGGGAGGAAAATAGTAGTTTGATGGAAAAGATGGTCTTTTTCGCATAGCCCAAGGACCCGGTCGGTTTAGGGAGAACCTTTAAAAAAAAAATGTAAACAGAAAGTTTCTCCTCCTCATCAAACTAATCCTTTTCAAAGGCTGCTTCTCCCTGAAGCGCAGAATCAACCAGAAGAAAAGGCTGAGTGCAAAAAAAGCACTTATTATTCAAAAATATAAAAAAGAATGCAGAAATTCCAGGGACTGAATTATTTCTTCTGAGCCTTTTCTATTTTGCTTTCATATTTTGCTTTCAGAAGAAGGCGAAAGGTTACGTCAATGTCCATGGCCAATTTCCCTGCCTTTGTCCTTCCTAAGCAACCGTCCCTTGGCCAATCCTGAAGATCTCGAGAAGTTTGGTAGACGTGACATTATCAGCATTGGGTCAAAATACTCAGTGGACTATCACAGCATCTCTCTTCTCTTGGCATCAACTGTCATATCAACATCAACAAGATGTCATCCTGCCAAGTTCTTCTCCCTTGTGATGGGCACAGCCTGCAATTTTTCACTCCTAAGTAGCCCACGGTGGATAGAGAGCATTTGATCACAAACTCAACTCTGCAGAGACGAAGGTATCTGGACCTCATGCTGTAAAAAAAACAGCTGGAATGTACTCCAGAGTTTGAGTTGTGTTTTAGGTTGAAGGTGGAATGGCCTAGTTACCCTCTCTTCCATGCCATTCACCAGTAACTCTATTGACCGTACTTATGAGTTGCAGGCGTGCAATGATTAGATGATTAGGGGACTGGAGGCTAAAACATATGAAGGATGGTTGCAGGAACTGGGTATGTCTGGTCTGATGAAAAGAAGGACTAGGGGAGACATGATAGCAGCCTTCCAATATCTCAGGGGCTGCCCCAAAGAAAAGGGAGTCAACCTATTCTCCAAAGCACCTGAAGGCAGGACAAGAAGCAATGGGTGGAAACTCATCAAGGAGAGAAGCAACCTACAAATTTCCTGACAGTTGGAACAATTAACCCGTGGAAGAACTTGCCTCCAGAAGCTGTAAATGTTCCAATACTGGAGGTTTTTAAGAAGAAATTAGACAATATTTTTTTCTGAAATGGTGTAGGGTTTTTTTCGCCCGAGCAGAGGGTTGGATTAGAAAGACCTCCAAGGTCTCTTCCAACTCCGTTATTCTATCCTAGTGCTAATGGCACTGAAGGGTTTCAGCAATCTGTGTAACTCTCAGAAATTTCTATTTTAATTCCACTGGTATGTTCTGCATTCTGAGGAAAGGGTAAAGATGGAGAGAAGGATCTTCTTCTTCCTCACTCTGTCCTCACCGTTGCTTTCTATGCCCTGAACAGCTATGTCCACCCTGCTTTGAGAAAATGGCCTGACCAGGGTCTAAAACCTTAACCCCTAAGTAAAATGAGCATGTTATCCATCCCAAATGCTAAGCAGAAGCTCCAGAGCTACAATTCTGGTGGGCAGCAAGCTGACACAGACCAATTTAAAACAATCGCTTAAATTAAATCATCTGTAATTTTTATTCATTTCAGTGATTATGACTGAAATGATCTCTTCTGCAAATTACTTTGACCAGAACGTATCTACCGATAACGCTTGTATAAATCCCAGCGCTCTGCCGAAATAGAGATGGAAGGTGATATGCGGATGGCAATAAAATATTGTACATTCCCATGCGTGCCACCAAAATTATACTAAGTGGCGATGTTTTCCACTGTAATGCCTCTGACCTTAGCTGAGGGTATGTTGACTTTCAGAGTGTCCTTGAGAATATAGAGGATCACTCTTTCTCTCTGTCTCGTTTAAAGGAAACTAACAAAATATTTGCTAATACCGCAAACCTGGTCTGAATAATAATCATCATTTTGTAAGCTGACCCAGAAGCAACTACTACTTTGATTTTCAGAAATTGTACTTGGAGGGAATTCCTATAAATCTCCCCCCACCCACCCCAAAAATATAAATTAACAGGATAACAGATAATCGGAGTTGGAAGGGACCTTGTAGGTCATCTAGTCCAACCCTCCACCCAAGCAGGAGACCCTAAACCATTTCTGACAGATGGCAGTCCAGTCTCTTCTTGAAAGCTTCCAATGATGAAGATCCCACAACTTCCGAAGGCAACTTCTGTTCCATGGGTTGATTGTTCTCACTCAGAAAGTTTCTCCTTATTTGCAGGTTGAATCTCTCCTTGATCAGTTCCCATCCATTATTCCTTGTCTGGTCTTCTGGTGCCTTGGAAAATATCTTGACCCCCTTCCTCCTCCCTGGGGCAGCCCCTCAAATATTGGAAGACTGCTATCACGTCTCCCCTGATCCTTCTCTTCACGAGACAATCCATGCCCAGTTCCTGTAACCGTTCTTCAGATTTAGCAACTATAAGTTAACATCCCCTGCCTTAAATTCGTACTTTAGAAGATTCAGGTTCCTCAACTGCTCTTAATAATAATGAGTTCAGTTAGGGATTTTGTTTTGGCTATATGTTATTAGAAAGCCAGTCAAGCTTTGGGAAGCAAAAGGAGAGAAACTCGGAATAACTATAGAACCCCATTTGGGAGGAGATACACTGTACAGTAAAAATCAAACTCTTGGGTTAAGTTTTTCACAAGAGACAAACCCCACAGCATCCTGTCTACAAATATCTTTTGATTCCTGGAGAATTGCAGAGAGTAACCCTGCCTCTGTTTTCCTTTGCAAGTGAGAATTTGGGATGTTCCCATGTATTGTTCCTTCATGGCAGTATAAGGTTCGTAGATGATTCAGATACGATGCCCCAATTCTTCTTTTTTGTTTATAGAATTGATCCAACCAATCCCCCCACTTCCTTTTTCCTCCAATTATACAATTTTATTAATGCTCCACCATCCATTCTCTAGTTTTCTCTCCTTTGCATGTGTGTGCTTGCAGATTCAAAGCACAACCGAGGTGCATGGATTTGATGGGCACTGAGATATGCTGGTAGATTATGATGTGATCAGATAAAATCACAGGGTTTGTCTGACAGCGTGTGAGAGAGTTCAGAAAAAAAAAAATCTCTTCATCCTCTCCGGGATTACCAAAGCAATTTTTGTAGGATATTATCAAATATCTGCTGAGCTTCTTACCAAATTTTAGAGGTGAATTATTACGTTTTCCAGTTGACAATCCTGCCTTAGTCGATCAGTTAGATTCTGGCAAAGGTTGATATCCCTGGATTGCATCTGGCCACTCAGAACGGGAAAATCCTATCCATCTTTGCACCGAATACTGTGGTGGCACAGACGCTGACCAGAAACACAATGAAACAACTGAAGCACCAGACCTTGGTTGTTAAAAAGGGAATTCAGAAACACTTGCAAAGACACCAGAGCTTTGTTCAGGATCTAAGAGTGAGCTAAATGTCAAATAACCCTTTGAAATCCTAGACAGGTCCATCAGGACAACCACCAGTGGGGATGCTATTGGGGTCTTTGATTTCTTGGATAGACATGCACACAACTTTTCCATGAGTGCTTCTAGCTGCTCCGTTTTCCCTTCTTACTCATTTTTAAAGGAAGCCACTAAAGGGAAAGAGACATTAATCACAAACATGTATGGCAACAAATAGGCAACTGGGTAGGTTGAGAAGAAGTGCACAAGGGAGAAACTGGGATACAGATAGATACAGATTAACAAGAGTTGGAAAGAACCTTGTAGGTCATCTAGTCCAACCCACAGCCCAAGGGAACCTGTGTGTCATCTGAATATGGCTGATTACATCTTCTAAGAGGCCCCACCAGCTGAGCTAGTGATCAGCAGCATTTGTGCGTATCACAGTTTGGCAATATTTTGAAAGCCATATGTTCCCCCTTCCTAACATAATGGTAGAGGATATCAAGCAAAGTAGCATCTTTAATATCAAATATTGGCTGTCAAATTATAGGAAGATTCTTCATTCTACCCCACTCCAAAATCTTAGATTTCATTCTTCTGTCTACTTGCTTCTAGGAGCAAAATTTCCATTGTTCCAGTTGGGTTGAAGGATAAATAGAAAGTAATGATGGTAGACCCATAGCTGCCTCACATCTTCTTTGGACAGCAGCAGATTTAAAACTAAAGAGGATGTTTCCAAGTTTCCAGCTGTCATGAATCCAGATGAAGCCCTGACACATCTACAAAAGTGAGCCAAAACACTGATAGAACCATAGACAAACCCCCTTCCCAAGGCAGGAGTCTTTATACCAAAAGTTTGTCCAATATTTTCTTGAAAATTTCCAGTGATCAAGCACCCACGACTGCAGGAGTCGAGCTCTGACTGGCCCCACCCCCATCACTTCTCAGCCTCCCAGCTGATGGGTTGCGTCTTCTTTTGTTGCCCTGGACAGGAGAACAGATCTGGAAAGCAGGTTAGTGGGGTGGGGAGGGCAGGGGGATTTGGCAGTATCCTTCCCCTGCCACACCCACCAAGCCACGCCCACAGAACCGGTAGTATAATAGTTTGAATCCCACCACTGCCCTGCACCCACCAGTCCATCACATGGCCCAATCAAATCTTTGTTCCAACTGGAGACATCCCTCCAAACACTCTCCTCCAGGTGCAGGGCAACATGTCCTTGACTCTCTAAGAAAGTAATGTTGTTGTGTCTAGTCTTCTACCTCATTATGAAATCCCCCCTCCCAAATTCCCAGGCCCTGAATGTGGCAAGTCTTGAAGCTTCTAAGTAAAAGATGGCTTCCGAGGCAGACAGGGCAGGGCACCGGGGTTTCGCATGCTTTGCCTGCATAGACAGGAGCGATTTCGAAGAAAACGAGAAAGTGAAATTAGGCCAGAAAGCCTCCAGAGGTGAAGGGAGATCTTGGCCACCACTTACTGTTCTCAGAGACTTCGACGATGTAATGTAGAACCGGACTATTTCCATCGAAGGGTCTCACCCAGGAGAGGATGACGCTGCGGCTGAAGGAAGAATTCAGGGTGGCAAATAGGTTCTGTGGCGGATGGGGCAGCTCTCTGTGAAAATAAGACACTTGTCATTCCTCGTGATTCCTGAGCAGTTGACCCAACTCAAAGAGTGGAACGAGATTTGCAGAGTGCTAGGAAGTGAGGAGAAAGCCAGAAGATTGATCGATTGCTTTCTTTTCTTTAAATTGTGACAGCCGGAGGAGAGGAACGATGGTTGTGCTGTCCAGACAGTTTAGAGTTAATGGGATTTGGGATAGTTAGTTAGGACTTGTGAGCTGTCCCCTTAAGGGAAAGCATCATGGTAAATGTAGTTAAGGTATCCTGGGAAATGTAGTCCATGTCCTGTGGCCACATCTGTAACCCTGCTTGGTCACTGAATTGACCCTTGGTGGGTTGGGGGAGGTTTCTTCCCTCTTGCCTGAAGCCACCATACCATGCGCGGCTGCTTCAATCATCGTGGCGATGAGACTTTATTATCTTCCTACACCACAAACATGCTCAGGCAGCCACAAAAGCCAAAAGATCTATGTACAACCCCGTGAATTTAGGACCCACGCATTGTTTGGAAGCTGTTTCACACCCCTCAGATCCCAGTTTGAGTTACAGCTGGCCCTTCTTCCAAAGAGTGTGGCGTTTCTGCGGAAAAGCTGTGAAAACTGTCAAACAAGCTGCCTAATTATGCAAAACAAAAGATGAAAACGCACAGTGAGAGAACGGTTGTTAGCGCAGAGTGGCTGCTGATGCCCCAGATAAATCTGTGTGACGGTGACTCACAAAAGTCAAACCAGTTTTTGCTGGTTAGGTACGTCTTTCAAGGTAGAGGTAGTCTTTTGTCTTTCTTTGCTGGCACTTGGGGATGTTCTCTTAAGCAGGCTTAGAAAGAGGGTTCTTTGGGGTAGGTAAAAAACGGTGGGAATTTGGTTTTGCCTACTTCGAATTCGAATCGCAAAGCGGAAAAGCAAAGAGATTCGTTGACTCTTGAAACGCAACATCAATCTTGTCTACGTTACTTAGGAAAACATGCTGGATCCTTAAGAAGACTGCACCAGCTAATATTTTCTAATAATCCTGCGTTCACGTATGGCATGTATTCGTGTATTACGGAATTACAGAGTTGGGAGGGACCTTAGAGGTCTTCTAGTCCACCCCGCTCGAGCAGGAGACAAATTCGTCAAATTCGGCTTTAGAATTTCCTGATGAACCCCGTGAAGATTTTCTGCAAAGATTAAGTTCTTCTAAGGTTGATCTCTCCGCTGATGTATTAATGAATACATTGGCTGAGATATCAACCTTAGAAGAACTTAATCTAAAAGAAACTGAACTGTTGCCCGCTAATTCACAATATATTGACCGTGATGACTTGGAATTAATGGACTTCAGGGTCTGACACATAGGGTAGGCATCAGAGTGAAAAACTTGGTAGGTTTTAAGCCGTCACATCACCGCAAAGTCCTTTCTTCAGTTATATTCGGCATGTAATAATAGCAAAATGTTAAATGGTCTTTTCAGTTAAATAGTCTATGGCGTTAATCTCAAAGACCATAAAATGTGAGAATAATGAAGTGAGGCCTTCTGTAATCTGTAACTGTATGCAGCCGTTCATGCTTATGGACCTTAAACCCTTAAAGGTAAAATGACCAGGCCTGCAAGAAACATTTCTCAACCAGAAACACTGAGGGAAAAAGAAAGAGAATCCCAGACCAAGAAAATCTCCTGGCCTCTCAATTCCACCCAGATAATATTAACTAATTTCAGGCAAACAAATGTTTTGATGTCCCTTGAGAATTCATTTCTACTAAAAAAAGCTCTCTTTAAAAAAAAAAAAAACACCTCACTGTACTTGTGATCTTTTTTGTTCTTCGGTGCATGACATCAGATAACAGATACTCAGAGTTGGAAGAGTCCTTGAGGGTCATCTAGTCCAACCCCTGCCCAAGCGGGAGACCCTACACCGTTTCTGACAAATGGCGGTCTGATCTCTTCTTGAAAGCCAGAATTTTTCATGAGATTTAATTTTTGAACCAAGGGACAATTTGTTAGCCCTTCTTGACCTGTATTACTGCAATAGCTACTGATGGAATATCCCTACTGCCCAGGTCACAAGATAGCAATTGCACTTTACCGCTTCCCAGTGCTTCCCAGCCCTCTCTAAGTGGTTTACAGAGTCAGCCTCTTTGCCCCCAACAACCCGGTTCCTCTTTTTACTGACCTCTGAAGGATGGAAGGCTGAGTCAATCTTCAGCTGGTCAGAATCAAAGGAATCGAAGTTCTGGCACTGAGCAAAATTTGCCTGCAATACTACATCCTAACGATTACGCAAACTTCCTTGACTGGAACCGTTCAACATGCTTTATTCTCCCAGCCATTAGATGGAGGTTGGAAAAAGAGTTAGGGAGTCATGGTGGTACAACGGAGTATTTGCAGGCTAATTCATCCGATCGCCAGCAGTTCGATTCTCACCAGCTCAAGGTTGACTCAGCTTTCCATCCTTCCAGGTCAGTAAAAGGAGGACCCAGATTGTTGTGGGGCAATGTGCCGACTCTGTAAACCGCTTTACATATACTAATCTAAGCACTATTGCTATTGTTCATTGCTCTACCTTCCTCTGAGTTGGTTATTCGGGATTTGCTTCTGTTTCCCCCGTGCACTCAGAATAAGGTATCAGGTGAGGAGCTCTCCCTCCCCTTTGGGCTGTGCAAGCCTGCACATGTGTTTTTCTACCACTGCAGGTAATTTTGGATACAGCAGTAATTTTTCTCGCCTGCATAACAGCCCACCAGAGAGGTTGGAAATTACTAAAAAAAACAACAGCAACCGAAAACCCTTTCTCTATTGTATGGAAAAGATAATCTGCTTTCTGCCTGACTTCTTAATTGTTCTCTCTCAGATGAAGCGTGGAAAATAAAAGGAGAACAAATGGTAGGAGCAGTCAATGCAACTGAAGAAATATGTAAAATCCACAACAGGTTTTGTTTTTTTTAAAAAAAATATATCGCTGGGTGTCATTTAGAGTTGTGCTCGTGTGCATTACTGAGAGCTGTTCTTATTGAATCTCTTTTGTTGATGGGGAAATTCAAACTGGTTTGGTTTACACTGCTGGCGTGCGTGTTCTTGCCTCGCCTTTGTGCTGCTCTCATTGTGTTTGCATTTTGATTGTACTTCGGCAGCATTTTATATGGACGTCCGGTGGAGGACAGGTTCTTATTGTTCAGTATCGGGAAATGGAGGTCGACGTGGAGCGATGGAACGGGAAATGGCTCGAGGAAGAAAGTGGAGGAAGAGAATTAACTGGTAGAAGAGAATGTTTGTAGCTCGGAGTTGAAAACTGGGGTCCTGGGGGCTCTCTGATCTTGGTGGTTTTCTTGCAGATGTTTTGTGACCCAACTAGGGAAACAAACCCCATGTCCTTCTTGCACTGATGATGTTACCTAGTTAGGTCATAAAACATCTGCAAGAAAATGAGCAAGCTCAGGAGGCACCAAGGACTCCATAGCAAGCGAGCAAGTAAAATAAATAAATGAATAAACGTGAAAATGTCTCTCCCACCAAAACTGGCAGGGCAAGCTACTGTATATAAACAGGGATTAAATCCCACTCCCTTCTAGCACTGATGGTATTTCCTAGTTGGGTTATACAATGTCTTCAAGAAAAACCACCACATTCAGAAAGCATCAAGGATCCCACAGAAGAGAATTACGTTCGAGTCCCCGAAAACCAGCCTAGTTTGTAGCAGAACATGTTCTCTGTGCAGAAGGCCTCAAATCCAATTGTGGGCAACCTTGGTTAATACTGCAAGGCTGGCAGAGATCCCAGTGGGTGGACACCCAGCCAGGGTGAGAAGGTAATTGACGCTGGCGAGTCAAGGGCCTGGAATGTATTTGCCCTTTAAAGGTCTCGAGATGGACCCAAATGCCAGGTTAAAACTTCTTGATGGGCACAGGAGATGTCAAATTACAAAGGAGAGCCATGCCAATCCTTTGAAGGAGGTTCTTCAGAACATGCAGGAGAATACCGGAGGCCTCCAACCATGGCAACCCTGGGCATGCTGGCTAGGGAATTCCGGGGGTTGAAGTCCACAGGTCTTAAAAGTTGCCAAGGTTGAACACCCCTGCAGTACGCTCCGCATCTCCTTTTGCAATCATTAAAGCAGCCGCATCTGGGAAACAGCGATGCCAAGTGTCTCTTGAAGCACAAACAGGCAGGGCCAGCTGGGAACCGCTTTGGCAGCAGCTCTGTGAGCCAGGAACAGGCCTGCTTGCTTTCACAATTCAAAAAGAGGTGCTCTCTTATGCTTTCTGAAGCCTTTTTTCCCCCCAAAGGATTTACGCAGCTCTACAGTAGACAATCCGGAGTCAGATTCTAATGGGCTTCTTCATTTTGCATTTCAACCCTGCCTCCAGATGGGAAAAAAAACCCAAACAGGATGAGGCAACAGCCGGCAATTTCAAAAGAGAAATCAATCTAGGCTAGTGGAGAGGTGAGGCTCTTCAGAAATCCAGGATGGGTTAGGATGGGTTGTGGCCTGTTGGTCTCCGGACCATCCAGCAGCGGAATCGGAGGAAGAGAAGGAGGTGTGGAAGTCAGGGTCAGTGTTAGGGCAACCTGAGAGCCCTGAGGAGGAAGAGGGAATGGAGCTAGCACAGAGAGAGAGAGAGAGAGAGAGAGAGAGAGAGAGAGAGAGGGAGGGGGGGGGGGGGGGGGGGAGGGAAGCAGAAGGCAGAGGAGAGGAGAGCAGTGGAAATCTAGGGGCCGGCCCTCGGGACAGGAGCTCCAAGGGGGAATGGAACTGAGAGAGAGAGACAGAGACAGAGCCTGGGCCATCCGTCAGCCCTTAGCTGGAGAATCAACAGCCTTCAGATCTGGAGGCGGCTGATGTGGAAGAGGAGGAACAGCTGGGCCCAGTGCCTGATGTACGGATGTGCCGAAAGCAGAGGAGAGCAGTGGAAATCTACAGGCCGGTCCTCGGGCCAAAACTTTTTGCCGGGGCTGCTGGCGTGCCTAATAAAGGAATCTTTGAGTTCACTTCAGAGGGTTTGTCATGTTTGGGAAGCTGGGTCAGAACAAGATGGTTGACAAAGGAGTCTTCAAGAGAAGGTTAGGTACGGCGAGCTGGCAAAAACGGACTTTGTTCCCTCCCCAAAACTGATGGACATTCTAGATTCTAGAAATGATCGTGTTAGGAAATTCCTCGGTCTTGTTCCACAAAACACTCTGATTCTTTCACGACCTTCATTTGTTGGTCCGAGGGAAGAAATTCAGCCAAGGAGCGATGAATTCATGCTCCTTTCAGTTTCATGAGAACGTTTGAATGGGGAGAAAAATACAACTCCTAACGAGGAAAATCTCACAGAGGGAGGAATGCTGGGTGTTCAAGAGATCAAAGGACCTGGGCACCTTTAGAGAAATGTTGGCTTGTTAGAAGCACATTTTCTGATCGATTCATGAACTGCAATAATGAGATCCAATCATCCTGCAATTTCGTCTTGCAATTTAACACGACGTGCAGCACTTTAGGCAGGTGCAAATACATTTTGCTTGTGGGGTGTGCGGAAGAAACACACACACAGAGATTCAACTTTTTTACATTGTTGTCACGTACAGAGATTCGTGTTTGCCACCTGTGCACAGTCTGCTTCTTTGGTGGGGCTGGCTGTATATCCAAAATGAACTGTTAAGAGGAGATGATTAATACAAGTACTTCTCAACTACTTGCAACCATTCGTTTGATTAGGGGTTTGGAGACTAAAACATACGAAGAACGAACGGTTGCAGGAACTGGGCCTGGCTAGTCTAGGGAAGAGAAGGACCAGGGGAGACAGGAGAGCAGCCTTCCAATATTTGAGGGGCTGCCACAGGGAGGAGGAAGGGGTCAAGCTATTTTCCAAGGCCCCTGAAGGCCAGACAAGGAAGAATGGATGGAAACTGAACAAGGAGAGATTCAACCTGGAAATAAGAAGACATTTTCTGACAGTGAGAACAATCAACCAATGGAACAGCTTGCCCTCGGAAGTTGTGGGAGAACCATCACTTGAGACATTCAAACAGACTGTCATCTGTCAGAAATGGTCTAGGGTCTTCTGCTTGGGTGGGTGGGGAGGACTAGATGATCTACAAGGTCCCTTCCAACTCTGTTAAAGTGGATCTGTTAAAGAGGTTGCAAGAGCTCTGATCGCATGCAGGCATCTGTGTGGAGAACACATTTTTACAAACTAAGCTATGAATTTGACGGAGCTAAAAATTCTCTCTGGCTATTTCGAGAACCTTTGGAGGAAAGTGACCTAATTAACCTTAGAAATATATTTTTTTAAAAAAAATAAGGCTAGTCCTGATTAGTAGAGACAACTGTCATGGTGAGGACTCCAGCTGGGAAGAAAAAGAATCCTGTCTCTTTGTGGAGTGATGAATGTTAAACAGAGAGAACTATTGGTATTATTATGTAAACTAGCTTTTCCTGTGTAACTTTATAGTGGCTCATAAAATATTCTATTCAGGCAATTTAGTTTCATTGATTTTGAAAGCCTTTCTGTGTGATGAATCTCAAGCAAAATTAAAACCTCCAGAGAGGAATACACTCAAATAAAAGAGAGAGAAAAAAGCCAAAGTTAAGAAAAAGATAAAGGAAGACAAAGCTGCTCATCATTTCACAAGTTTTATAAAAGAGAAGGAGTGGCAGAAACTGGGGGTGGAGTTAAAAGAGGGATCAGCCTAGAATCTCTACATAGGCACAAACAATGTCCACATTTCCTTGAATTCTGCTGACTTCTATCTAACCTCAAGCAGGCGTTGACTGTTGGTTGACAAGATCCTTGTGTCTAAGAATGATTACCAATAAATCTGTTTAATTTCACCTATGGACCTTGTTCGGAGAAATATCCATCTGGTTCAGGTTCCAAGCTGGGAGAAAGACATTGGAAACATGGAGGCTGATTGGAAAGAGGGTTTAATGGTGAACAGGACCACCGACTACATCGTCCTGGTGCAGCTGACCCCCATGGAGTTGAGAAGGGTTTTTTCTCTTGGGCTTTGAACTTGAGCTTCCTGTTCCTGTGCAAGAACGTGTATTCTATTGGCTGTTGTCAGATTCCTATGTGGTCATGTTTGTCTGAGCTCCCAGGTTTGGTTGACGTTTGCTGGGTGATGCAACGTTCTTAGGAGGTTGCAATGCAGTGGGCTCTGTATCTTCTGCTAAATGGTCCTATTATGTCCTGAAGGGCCATGTCTTAATCCAACCACCCTGGAGCTGAAGGTCTTTTGTCTTGTAGATGGGCTGGCCAAGTCCTGCTGGGGCTATTAAGAAAGGTGGGTGCTGCTTTCCAAGAGCATTTTTCTCCATTAGGGAAATATAATATTTTGCCTCTTTTAATATTTCCTGAAATATTTCATTCTTTTAGGAGAGGGGTGGGTGTTAACTTGGTACAACCTGAACTTTCACACCTGACATTTCCCATCCCAACGTACTATGTGAGAACTTACATTACTTCCATTCGGGCCACCCGTGAATCATTCCCGCCCGAGGAACTGACTTCGCAGGTGTAGTCTCCGATGTCACCTGACCACGTTTGGCCAATGATGAGACTGCCATCTTTCTCAATGGAGATTCGGGAGCTGCTGGAAGGATTGATGATCACGGTATCCTTCATCCAAGTGTACCTGATGGTCACAGTACATCAGATGGTTAAAGTCAGCTGTGTATTTTGCTAAACATAACGAGCATGCTGAAATTACCTGGCAAAACCAGAGATAAATACTTTAAGATGGGTGGCAACTCGTAAAGCATTCCTGGTCTGCTCTCGAGTTGCCATAGGCAGAGGGGGGAACTGATGGAGCAGAACAGCAGCCACAACCAGAAGCACATGCCACGCATATCTTCTTCAAGGCTGTATCCCAGGCTACTGGGACCAACCAGAGAGGCAGGATCTCCACAGTCCGTGAATGTGCTCCGTTGGAGAATGTGATTTATGACACACTCTGGTGGGAGACAGGAAACAGAGTCATAGGTGGGTCGTAAATTACATCAGGCAGAGTATCTGCCGACATGTTGTTCCTAATAAATAACTGGATTTCTTTTGAAACTTGGCTCAAGGCTCATGGTTTAATTAGGGCATTGGTCGGAATCCTGTCAGCGGGTGGACTTCAACTCCCAGAATTCCCAGTCAGCTATGCATGAGGGGTAATTGAAGTTCCACCCATCTTAAATTTGCCAAGTTTGACAAAAACTGTGATAAAGGATACAACCCTCCTTTATAGAGTTCTATAGAACTTTATAGAGTATTAAGTATCTCATTTATTTTTTTGAGGTGGGTGGGGACAAATTTGAAGCAATGATTGGCAATCTAAACCCAACCAAGTTTTGAAAAAGAAAAGAGCTCCCCCGTTTTAGTTATATTTTCTTGGCTTCACTAAAAGTGTCTAGAATTTGGAGTTTGCTCCCTAAACTACCAGGAACCAAAACTATTCATTTATTTATTGAGGAAGCCCAAGGTTTTATTTCACTTTTAAAATATGTTTTATCATACTGTGTGATAAACAACTCCTTCCAAACATAAAGGAACACAGGACAGTTTTCCTTTCCCCCGTTCTGTTGTTAAATATAGTAAGTAATACATAAAGAAATATAAGTAGATACGGTCTTTCATGGTGCCTACAAAAAAATAAGGTAATTTGTGTCATTTCAAGACTCAAGGTCAGTGATTTGTGAAGGGCAGGCATCTCAAAGGCTGAGATTAAAGAATAAAGTATATATACTGAAGTGTATTTATTATGCCAAACCTAGAATATTCTCTTTCAAAGCTGCTGCAGAGGTTTCTTAGGCAACAGGTAAAAAAAATCTTCACTCTCGAAAAAATACTGTGCAAATGTTAATTATACTTAGCATGAACTTCTTAAGGCAGCTCTTTGACCACAATAAAGATTTGATTAGATTAAGATAAAATATTGCAGGGTAGAAAGCGGGTGGGGTCGGGTTTTGGCCTGGTCCTCACCCCCCACCCCCAGCAATGTCTGTGATTTCAATGTCACAATTTGTAGAATAGAATTCTTGCTTTAAACCGTTTATAGCGGGACTCAGAATCCTACCAGCGTTTATGAGCATAAAAAGCATCTAAGACACAGTTTCTTCTTTAGTCAAATCTACACATTTTCCCCCTCTTTTTTTTCCTTTTGACAAATGGCCTTGTTTGATGTTTTCTAAAGGGAATGGAAGCATTTTAGTTAGATTTGGATATATCTATATTCATTCTTCTGTATGAAAAACAGAGGGACGCCTTTTGATTCCCTGCTTGTAGAATTTGGGAGTTAAAAGATTTCACTTTGTCTGATGAAACTTTGGTTCTTGTTGGTTTTTCTCAGGGAAAAAAAAAAGGTGAGGCTTCTAAGACTTCCACAAACTGATTTGCAAAACCAATTCCCTTAAATTGCTTTGGGTTTTATTCTCGTTAAGGATCGGCTTGTGACAAGTCAGTTTTATTGATATTGTGTTAACCTTGACAGTAAATCATAGGACGGCTATATTGAAATCATGAAGTGGAACATAGCTCATTGTAAATAATGCATATGGTTGCAGCGGAAAAAATAAAGAGAACTTGATGTGATTAAGGGCACAATTTACTGTCTCAAACTGGAATGGTTGCTCCTGGGCAAAGCAGTACGACAGGAAGTAAGACAGCACAGCTGATCGTTAGAACAGCTGATCATCGGGAGGAAAAAAGAAAAAATGAATATCGGTTTAGCTGAACTGTGGCATTTTTTTTACTACAGGTTCGGTTGAACTGGGCCAAACTGGTAGAATCCCAGTGTAGACAACTAACCTGATGGAAATCCTTGGGTCGTGGGCAGCTTCACACTGAAGCATGGCTGTTGTTCCCTTAATGACCGTGCTGTCCTCTGGAGGGCGTGCGATAAAAGTGCGATCTGAAAAAAAGAAGATGACCCACAATTCAAGTCAAGTTGCCTGTTTCCATCTTGGTTTGGGGTTTTGCCTTGGGAAGAACTACAAGCCTAGAGAAGTTGCTCATTATTGCACCACCCAGTTCCTGAATACAACACACTGGAGAAAATCCAAAGGGTCTCTGTCTACAGGTTTTTAGGAAGTGAGTTGTGAAGATCTCATCTGTTGCTAAGCTTTCACTGGGTATTTTTATAAAGAGGATGGGATGATACAAAAATAGGACCAAGAGGAATAAGGAGACATGCTAGTCCTGAAACACCATTTGCAAAAGGTCGAAGACTTCCTTTTGATGCTTCAGGGCGTGTAGAAAGAACGACTTCGCTTTAGCATCTTAATTGCACAAAGCTCAGTGTCTAAGATACAGCAGGACATTAAAATGTGTTGTACCAGTTTGGTTCATGTGCTAAAATCCAACTGGAGACCTTGTCCTCTCCCAACCTCACTCTGAACTGATCTGATATTGGATAACAAGCAGCTGAACGCTGGATTTAGATATGGTTGCACCCTATCAGGAGGATGCTGAGGTCGGTCCAGTGAACACCACCTTGGGGTGGCTTCCATCTAACCTGGTGATTTTGAGATGCACCGCACTTCCTTTCCAGATCTTTACAGTGGGGAATGGTGTTCACAAAGTTGTAATGCAGTAATAATATTAATGGTTGATATTGCTGCAGTATTACTGTCTCCCTTCCAGTATAGTTGGGTTCTGCCACGTTAATTTGACTGCCTTTTTTTTTTAAACAAAGGATGAACAGTTGCAATGAATGAGATCTCTGAATGCCACCTTAGAAGGCTGTCAAAAGCATGTCAAAAACTGCTTTTTTCAAGTGAGATGTTTATGGTGGTTCTCCACATTGCTTCTGAAAACCATAATCTCATTACTCAATGCTCGCCCTACCCTCATAACATGAACACTTTGTAATTAGATTATGAATTAATCAGCTACAAGGAGAGCTGATTAAGTCAAGATGAAGGCTGAAAAGGAGCAGGGTCTTACTCCATACGGTAAGAGAAGCAGAGGCGTTCAGGGTGCCTTCGGAGTTGGCTGCGCAACAGGTGTAGACGCCGGCATCTTCGAGAAAGACAGGGGTGATCTGAAGACCTCCAGACTCAAGGAGACGGAACCTGGGGAGCTGAATGGAGCCACTGGCCAGAATCTGATTGCCTGGAACACAGCAAGTGGAAACAGCCTCAGTCCACTTTGACTTGCAGCACATGAAGGTGTTAATGCTATTTCTCATTTGTCCTGGTGAGCCACCACAATTTGTGGGGTTTCCTAGTAGAATAGTAAGCATGTACCCCTTTTCCAGGCAACGGCGGGCTTTGGGGCTCCAGAAACTTCACATCTTAAAATGGCGCTCATCCCTTCGGTGATGGTAGCGTCTGCCGGGGGCCAGGTGAACGTGGGCGCCACATCTGGAATCAAAACCAGGGTTTCATTAAGAAGTGGCCAAGAGAGCCCTCTGAAAGGTCAGAACATTTGTGGAGTTTTCCTACTGTACCAGAACATTGTGATAATCCCAACTGCCCCTCGTAGGGTGGACCCCCCAAACGTTCATTGTCCCTCTCAGGAGAACTCTGCGATTTGGGATTATCATCAGGGGCTTTGAGATCAAGCCAAACGGTGGGCTTTCAAGAAGAACGGATGGGTGGATGGATCAAATTAAGCCAGGGCTGTTTAGTCTCCTGCAGGATGAAAAGCAATTTCAGCCTGACACCAGTTTGCAGGAATTAAATGTCAGCCAAAAGAAGTTTCCATTTGACTCAAAATATTGCCGCGTTCCCCCCTTTCGTAACGTCTCTCTGGCTTTCTCTCAGCCTCTGATGCAAACATTCGGGGAGGGGAGGGAGGGGGCCTTATTAGCTCTAGCTGGGAAAATATTTTAGACACAAGAGCACCGTGTGAGTTTGGTGGAAGGCCTAAGACAGTGATGGTTAACCTTTTTGGTGCCGAGTGGCCAAAGCATGCGCACGAATGCACGTGTGCATGCTCCAATCCCCAAAATGCAATGCAAGCACCTCCTGGGCATGTGCCCTACCCCCACACATTCCTTGCGCATGTGCCCTGGCCCCCGTTTTGGCTTCCAGATTGGTGCAGGAGGCTTTTCAGGCCCCAAAAGGGGCACGGAAGGGGGTGCTTGTGATCTCCGCAGTATTTCTCCCCCGCCATATCCCAGGCTTTCTCCTCTGTTTCTGCCATGGAGAGGCACCTGTGGAGGGTGGACCCTGTGCAGACCAGGGAAGGCACAGGTGGCAGGAATGCAGGAGTAAGCTAGGGCATGCTGGGGGGAGGAAGGTAGGGCACACTGGTGGGGAAGCTGCAGAGATCGGTGAGACCCGAAGAGAAGCTGGCCATCGGGAAGCGCATGCATGCGCAGTAGAGCTGGGCTGGGTGACAACTGGTGTGCCTGCAGAGAGGGCTGTGTGTGCTACCTGCGGCACGCATGCCATAGGTTCACCACTACTGGCTTAAGAGACAGCTAACACCCAACACTGGAAAAGTTGATAAGCAGGTGTCCGTCCATCCATCCTTCCAAAATGAGAAGGTGTCCATCCATCCATCCGTCCTTCCAAAATTGTAGAGTTGTAATTGCAGGAATGTTCCAATCTCGGGTGGCAAACCTCAGATAAAGAATGTTTCCAAGCAAATACAACTCAAGTAAACAAAGTCACTAATCTAAAGGAGGATTAGAGAGAGGAAGTAAACATACGTTAGACTTTAACTAGAGATGATTAATTGTATGGATTACTGTGCTAAACAGTAACGAAAGTTAAGCAGCAACCAAAGTTAACCAATGATGGAGGATAACTAAAAATGTGTATAAATGCAAGACTAGACTCCAATAAAGATCATCATGATTCAGTTGTTCATGATCAAACAACTCGACTGCCTCATCATTGCAACACAAAATGAGAAGGTGTCCATCCATCCATCCTTCCAGCTAAGAGGTCCACAGGTCCTTCAAGCTGACCCTTGCCACTGCCCCTTTGCACTCAGACAACTATCCACGGTTCCCTGGTCTATATGGAAAACAACCGTTATTCTTTGCATTCCCATTTTGTATCTCAATGTGGGACCAGTGTCTAGATCCTCCTTTCTTTATTGCTCCAGAGATTCTAAAGGAGAAACAGTATTAATTTCCTCCAACAATTGCATTGGGGAACTCTGAAAAAAAGCTGCAGACTCAGCTTGGTGGACCCCCCCAATTTTTCTTTACACTTTCTTTTTATTTGGGGGGGGGGGGAGAATGTCATTTATTTTAGAAAAATGGACAGTGGGTTGCGATGGGTAGGGAAGAGAAGCAGCCCAGCTTGTGAGGACAAATGCAGTCTGGAAGGAGTAAAATACGGCAACTGCAAAATCGATGTGGAATTTAAATGAGGAAGGATTGAGAGGGAACGGCCCTCCCCTTTTGCCATTTTAGTCCCTTCATTCACTTTCCTGACAACATGTCAAATTGCTGCTTCCTAAAGCTGTCAGGAGGGTGACACTGGTGGGGAATTTGATGGTCTCGCCACCATTCTGTAGAGGACAGAAGCGTTCAGCGGTGTGGACGATAGCAACACCTTACGTAGCCCCCCTAGTCTGTATGCTCGAGATGAGAAAACTCAATTGGAAGTAAAGGGGAAACTGCTAGCTAGGCTGGAAGGAGGGGTCAAGGGAGGATCTAGCTTGGAGTCACTGCACAGCCACAAATGGCATAAGTCTGATCTACCCAAGATCCACGAAGCTGTATCTTGTTATTCCCAGAGGAAAGCAAGCAGTCTGAGCAGATTTTTAACATGGGTGATAAGCAATAAAGTTATTGACTTAGCCACAACTGGCTCTGGTTGCTTATGCCAGACAGGGTCTCACTACGTTCTGTAGCAGGTGCCGCCAAACCTTGTCTTAATTTCCCCACCTGTGAAGTTCCAAACTTACGGGTGACCTCAAGATAGGCGTGGCTCTCTATCTCGCCAACCTCGTTCCTTGCAAAACATTGAAAGATTCCGGAATCTTCTGGCTGCGCTCTCTGGATTTGGAGGGTCCCATTGGGTAGCACCGTGTAACGAGGATGGACTCCTGGGCTGACAGGGACAGCGTCCTTATACCAAGCGAGAGTTGGCCGTGGGATCCCTGCGTGAGACCCGGGTAGAGAAAACTCGGTCAGATGTGCGCTCTCTCCATGCCTGGCTTTATGTTCAACTCAGCCCCACTTTTGACAGAAATACTCTGCTCATTAAAGTACAGACAGTCCTCGACTTACAACAATTCATTTAGCGACCGTTCAAAGTTATGACGGCATGGAAAAAAGTGACTTATGACCATTTTTCACGCTTACTGTCAGGGCTACAAAAAATCCACCCCCATTCAAATCATAACTTTCATCACTGTTACCGTATCCCCACGGCCATGTGATCAAAATTCAGTTGCTTGATATCATAAACTGATATTTATGATGGCTGCATGTCTCCTTTTGTGACCTTCTGACAAGCAAAGTCCATGGGGAAGCCGGATTCACTTAACAACCGTGTAACTAATTTAACAACTGCAGTGATTCACTTAACAACGGTGGCAAGGAAGGTCATAAAATGGAGCGAAACTCGCTTGATGTTTCACTCAGCGACAGAAATGTTGGGCACAATTGTGGTCGTAAGTTGAGGATCACCCATAATGGATTTAAGGCCTATTTTAGGCAATCAGAATGATTTTCTGGAGGAATCACCATGGTAAGTGCTCTGAACTTCCTTCTCACGGTATCTTAGGAACATAAGATCTTCCCTGTGGACAAATGAGGAATGTAGTAACTTGGCATTATTATAATTTTAATTGATGGCTTTATTTTCTTGGAAAATATTAATCCAGCTCAGCTTTTTTTTTAATAATGAACCGTTTTTTAAAATCCTCTTCCCCTTTGTGACATCTGGAACAACTGTTCTCATTTCTCTCCTTCAAATATGGATGCTTAAGAAAGCGCTGTTAATATAATTTATCAAGTTGCGTCATATTAAGAAGAAATCAATGCCTTATGGACTCAAAAGTCAATAGAGTAAATGTCATTATATGTAAAAATTCTGTCTTCGGTCTACTCGTCTTTCTATTTAGACAGAAAGTTGGTATTATTTTCCAAAATAATACAGAGACAAATGGGAAAAGAAGGGCTCGGAAAACGAAGAAGGAAATTTAGCGACGATAAAACTATTTCCGTACCAGGATGTAATCAGTTCCTGAAATCGCACTTGAAGCTTCCATTTTGTTAGAATAATAAAGCCATTTATTGTCTTAAAAAAAGAATCAACTTCTGCAGACTGGGTATTTATTTGTGACAAAGTAGATGCAATACAGCGCTGTGAAATAATGTACGATTTAAGGTTCCTACCGAAGGCTCATCCAGAGAATCCTGATTGTCAGAATTCTTAGCACAAAGCACAATTTACTTCGTGAAAGTGCTGCAATCTGAAATTACTACAGACTGAGTCATGAGGAAACAGATAATGTGAAAATGAAATAGTCATCCAGGACAGGAAAAAAAGGCTGGAAATAGCTTGAAGCTTGAATAACAATAATTCTTTATATTTTAAAAGGAACATAATAGAATTAAATCTAGTATTTGGCTTATTCCCTAAATCCCCTCTGACTTATTAACTTAATAATATTAATTTAAAAAATCAGCGGGGAAGCTAATTTTTCAACTGTAACCACAACTGCGGAAAATTCTCCTCTTTTCATGTCTTAGAAATTGCGCAAAGCATCCTAAAAAGATGGACAAAAGGCTCAATCTTGCTTCGTCTTGGCAGAGAAAGCCATGGATGTGTTCTCAATCGAACGAGACTGATTTTAGATAGTGGAGCATCAAGCCATAGGAAAACCATTAAGCACCGGTGTTCCTCAGGGATTTAAGATACCTGAAAATCTGAGACAACTGAGTAAATTTAACCGCGTAAATCGCATCCATCAGGTGGAGGCAGAAAGGGTATTTTTAAGAGTGTTTTTGGATCCATGGGGAGGTTCTGGGAATCAAGGGGAACTGCTGGATCAAGTAGAGAACCATCTGAGAGGTTAGAGGAGAAGGGTGCTGGAAATGGTTGCAGGAATCCACATAAGGGAATCAGTTGAGAGAAGATATCCAGATTACAGAAGAACTGTTCATTGTGATAGAAGAGAATATTTGAACTGGGAGGACTTCGGGGTTCTCTGAACTTGGTTGTTTCCTTGCAGATGTTTCATGATCCAACTAGATAATATCATCAATGCTAGAGGGAAGTGGGATTTGCATAGAGGAGGAGGAGGAGGAGGAGGAGGAGGAGGAGGAGGAGGAGAAGGGAGGTGGAAGAGGAGGAGGAGGAGGAGGAGGAGGAGAATTGTGGTGTCCTTGGGGTTCTCTGAACTTGGTTGTTGCAGATGTTTCAAGACTCAACTAGATAACATAATCAGTGCTAGAGGGGAGTGGGGTTTGCAGAGGGAAGGAGGAAGAGGAGGATTATGGGATCTTTGGGGCTCTCTGAGCTTGGTTATTTACTTTCAGACCTTTCATTCCACAACTAGCCAGCATCTCAGCACGACGATGTTACCTAGTTGGGTCATGAAACCTCTGGATAAAACCACCCAGCTCAGACAGCATCAAGGACCCCGCAGAGCTGTTCATTATTATTATTAATCTTGCTTCCTGGTATATCCCACAAGGGCCAAATTAGATCCAGACTCAAAAGTGACTCAGCCGTACCGTGAAATGCAAAAGGACCTGCCTATCCGTCCTTCTCAAGAGGCCTACGCTTCTTTTCTGCTGTTTTGCATTAGCAGGCATAAAAGGGCCGTGGGAACCCTCTTGCCGAAAAGGACACTTCTGAGAAAGGAATGTGATTTTTAAGAAAGATGATCAACGTTTTTCAAGTTCTGGTCTGTTCGAACACCTTCTCGTTAAAATAGGAATGAATGAAGGCTACCACAGAAGCGTTAACTACAGCTGGACATCTGCTGCCGCCAATGTTCTCCTTCCCTTGCAGAGGCTCCATAATTTTAAGAAACAAGTGCGCTTTCGCTCTTGTGGTTATTGATTGCTTCTCCACAACCTAAGTTATGGGTCCCACAACAACTGTTTCCCTTCCATTAATCCATTTGGCTCAAGATGTTCAGCCTTCTTTCTTGGACGGCCTTTATGGAGCACTCAAAGACGGAGGGGCATCCTGAGAGCATCGCAACCTTTCCGGCCTCTTTGCTATTTATATTGGACTGTTTAAGTCAGGGGTGTCGAACTCGGGTTCATCAAGGGCCACATCAGGGTTGTGTTTGATTTCGGGGGGGGGGGGAATGACCAGCTGCAATGGCCTCGTGCAGTCCTCTGCCAGTGAAAATGGAGGTCAGGGGGCCTTATGTGGCCCGGTTGGACCCAGGGGTGGGATTCAAATTTCTTAACAACCGGTTCTGTGGGAATGGCCTAATTTGTGGGTGTGGCTTGGTGGTCATGCGACTTGCTGGACTTAGCTTGTATGTAAATATTATAAATATTAATGTAAATATTGATTTTTTTTATTTAAAAAGAGCAACTTTTATCCAAAATCAAGCAAAGCAGGCAGGCAGATTGAGTTGCTCACAGAATCACGGATTCACTCAGAGATCTATCTGTCTGCCATCTGCTACCTGAGTCTGCACTGAAAAATAGAAGCTTCAGTCCTAAGGGAAGGTTCAGCTCTGCTTTTAGACTCGCTAGAAAGCAAGAAATTGAACGATTTTCTGCTTTCTAGCTAATCTAAATCTCCCGGCACAACAGAACAGCTGAGGTTCAGGGGAGGGAAAAAAGGAAAAATGGTAACTTAGCAAACGCAGGCAAGTTGGATGGCGCACATGCCAGGTAAGGAGTGAGTGGTCGGGGTGGGGAGGGGCAGGGCCAGCCGGTGGTGCGATTTGCCGGTTCTCTGAATTGCACAAAATTGTAACAACCAGTTCTATAGAACCGGTCCCACTAGATGGAATCCCACCCCTGCTTGGACCCCGTTTTCATCCAGGATGGCCTTCTGCAGCCTTCTGCCAGTGAAAATGGAGCTGGAGGAGGGCTACACAAGGCCAACGGAGCCAAAAACGGAGCCTGAGAGGGCCACATGTAACCCTACAAAGCTCCATTTTCGCTGGCAGAAGCATAGCAGGCTGCTGTTTCCAGGACAGCCCTGCAAGCCAGTTTTAAGCACTCCGTGGGCCGGATCCCCTGGTTTAAGGGAAAACAAAGTTGTTGTTTTCGATTGGCTAACCCAAACATAAATGAATTGTGATTGGCTAGGCATCCCCGTGTTATCATAGTCAGGAACAATTTTTTTAAAAAGCATAAATAATAAATACAGGTAGCCCTCCCTGTTACAGCCATTTGTTTGCTGACAAATTATGACGGTAATGGAAAGTGACTTATGATGAGTCCTCGCACACACAGGTGTTGTAGTATCGCCATGGGATTAAAAATTTGGGTGCTTGGCAACCGGTCTGTATTTATGACAGTTGCAGCATCCAATTGTGACCGTCCCAACTGGCTTCCGACAAGCCAAGTCAACAGAGGAAGCCAGATTCGCTTAATGACCAGATGAATCACTGAACAACTGCATTGACTGGTTTAACCACCGTGGCGAGAAAGATGGCCAAATTGGACATGAGTCATTTACCAATCACCTTGCTCAGCAATGGAAATTGTCAGGCTGCTGACCAGCTGCTACGATGATGTAATGCCGGGAATGAGTCAGCAAGGTTTTTGGGCTGATATCACTTTAAGAGCCTGTAATAAGAAGAGGCCCTGTTGGGGCATATCTCTCTCTCTCCGTGTGTGCTTCCGTGCTGTAATTGCTGATTGCGATGTTTGAGATCTGACTAAAGTACATGTATATATTATATATTCTTTGTAGATAAACCCACTATTTAAATACAAATCTTTGTTTACTGTATTTGCTCCTGGGATTGTCTCACATAGTCCCATTGTGTGCACTCTGACAGAAATTCTGGTTGCAACTGTGCTCGTAAGTCGAGAACTACCCGCACCTTTTAAAATGAAGTTATTTGTTCATGCTCTACTTACCTGTGGCTTGGCATGGGATGCTCACTGTCTTCTCTACTTCTAGCAAAATCTGGTTTTCCGGTTCAGCAGTAAAATACGGTGGCTCTTATGGGAGGCAAAACAGAAGACCATGTTAGTTCTTCTCCAGCGGTAGAGCTGATCTTCTTTTGTGCAGAGGATGACACACACAAGCATTGAGAAGACCCATTCACTTCCAAGAGAGATACAAAGTCTTCGCCCAACCTATCACCCCTTTTCGTTGAATACAGCATTACAAATGGAGCAAGCCTGACTTCTAGTTTTGAGTTCATGGCTTTTTTTCAGTGACGGCCTCATAAAACTGCCTCGACAATTATCGATGATGATGAATATGTGTTTCAAAGCGTATGGAGTCGCTGACAATTCATACCCAGAGTTCTACGCAATGAGTTAATGACCGAGCAGAGGCCCTTCTCATTTTACAAGCATGAATCAGTGAATTTTTCAATTCTCTGCTCAGAAGGTTCTTCCAGAAAGATTTTATTTACAGCAATAGATTAGATGAAAGGAGCTGGCCTCGGTTTTCTGCTCAATAACCCATGCAGCATCAGACATAAAACACCAGAGCAGAAACCTAACACAGCTGTGTGCATAAGGATCCCATCAAGTCTTCATCACGGTGTGCAATGAAGGTGGGAAATTTAAATTAAGCTACGTCACAGCAACTTTCGACTAACTGAGATTGGTGCGGCATTCGGCATTCCTATAACCCTCCAGAATCAGTTCTGCCAAATAGCAATAAGACTTATATATCTTTTCCCAGTGCTTTACAGCCCTCTTTAAGTGGTTTACTGAGTCAGCCTCTTGCCCCCAACAATCTGGGTCCTCATTTTACAGACATTGGGAGGATGGAAGGCTGAGTCAACCTTGAGCCGTTTGAGATCAAACTCGAGGCGGTGGGCAGAGTCAGCCTGCAATCCTGCTTTCTAACTGCTACGCCACCAAGGCTCCTTTTGCAATGAACACTCACTCCTTGCAATTCTGGTTTGTCTAATATCAGAAAACTTCACTTGCTACTTATTTTTGTTCTTGGGAACTAGTGGCAGCATCCTAAAATTGAAAACACTGGCCACCATCCATTCGATTTAAAGAAAGGGATCGGAAGTGAGCATTAAGCAAAAGCAAGGAAACAAAGCAAACAATTTGGGGATTTCACAGAGGGTAAGGCTTACTTGCTGTTCTTTGCACCCTAATTACAACTTTTCTCCTAGTAGACGTGCTCCTAAGTTTGAATTCATTCATACAATATTCCATTTAGCTAATAACAATGGAACAACTATTGTAACTTTCTTTTCCTGTTGACCCAATTGAGACTCAAATCTTCTTTAATCCATTTTATCATTGTTCAGGGTAATAGTTATTTGACCTTTATAGAAGACCTTAAACGGCAAGGCAGCCACCACACAAGACGCCACGAATCAGGACCACACATTAAACTCCAGTTAAGCTGATTTATTGCACATGTCTATAGACAACAATCTAATCAACCAACAGCACTAAATTGGTGCTAGATCAATGGAAATCAAAAGGAGTTGAATTTAGACCTTTTGTGGGAATGCAGAAATTCTAGGCTAATTCCTCACTTGACTCCATCCTCAGGCTCTGCTCAGCCTTCTCCTTTACCATTTCATTCTCTTGTAGCCTTACAGTGTTTCTTCTATGAGTCGCATCTCTGAGGCTTAGCCTGTAAAAATTCATCTCCTGGGAAACCTTCCCTTTCTCAACTTCTGGCTTTGTCGAGAGCCACAAAGGCCAACACAAATCGCTAAGGCTACTGCTTGTCATGAAATGGGAAAAGGGTTCATTAGCAGAGCCAGCTGAGTTGTTCTATTGACAGCTTAAATCAAGTGTGATCCAGCATTTGTTCTTCATCTTTCTTCAGGCGGTGAACATCTGCCAAAATCTATTCCAGCCACAGCTATGACATTGATGAAAAAAAAAAGAAGAATCATAAAAGAATTGGAAGAAAAGAAGGGATGGGTTTGACCATTACTGTACTGGCTGTTAGGAAAACAAGGGTGTTTTTTTTTTTCTTTCTTTTTTAGCCCTGTGGTGAAGGCCATCTTCCATTGAAAGAAAAGACACCATTGAAAGGCAGAAGATGAAGAAGAGGTGCAAATAGCAGCACGCATCTCTGCTAAAAGCAGGGACATCTTCGGAAATTGCAAGTTGAAAGTGTGACTTGGAAGATGCAGGATGCCTCACTGTTCCTCATCTGGGGAATTTCAATCCTTTGCAATAGTGGCAAATATCTGTAGCTCTGGTGTAGGAGAAAGGTGGAGGTTTGTTCTCTGAGCTTGTGGGTTGGTTTCCAAACATTTTGTTATCAGGCTAGGTAGCATCTTCAGTGGAGTTTAGGGGATCTCGGTGTTGGTGTTCTTCTGCTTATAAGGGCTTAGTATGATCAGTAGGTCTTGTGATGGGGAGGTTGTCAACTCATACAGCATTCCTGGCCTGCTCTTGAGTTGCCATAGGCAGGAGGGAGGAGTACAACTGATGGAGAAGCTCCGTTGCTTTGACCAGAAGCACATTCCACGCATACCTTTCTCCAGATTGTAGCCCAGCTTATTAGAGCCAGCCAAAGAGGCGTTTTCCACAGCCCGAGAAAGTGCTTCATTGGAGAATGTGATTTATGACATACCCTGAGAGGAGGAGGGGGAAAGGATCATAGGTGAGCACTAAATTACATGGGGGCAGAGCCGACTGCACTTGAGAAAGTGCTGACATGTTGCTTCTAATAAGTAGTTGGATTTCTTTTGAAACTTGGCTGGAGGCCCATGAATTAATTAGGGCGTCTGTTGGAACCCTGACAGAAGTCCCATATGGGGAAGATCACATGAGTTGAGGGTCTTGTGATGAGCCAGGTGTGGATCACGTCAAGTGAAAGCCTGGTGATCAGTCTTTTGATGGGTCAGGTGTGATGGGTCACACCTGACTCATCACCACACCCTCACCTGACATGACCTCCTCATCACAAGATGCATGGACCACACGAAGCCCTTATAAGCAGAAGAACACCGACATCTCCTAAAGATGCTACCCAGCCTGGTAATGAAATGTTCAGAAACCAACTCACAAGCTTGGAGAACGAACCTCCATCCTCAATTTCAGTCTCTTTAAGTGGCCTTATTTCTCTTCCTGGTCTAAATACTTTTTACCTCTCCTCTCCATCCAGTTTTATTCCTCTTCTTGGCATCCCTTCCCTACGCAGCTCTCTCTTTATCCTGGGTTTTTTTTTTGTGTATGTGTGTGGGGTTTTTTTGGCAGCTTCTGCTAAAAGTGGGGGAGAGGAATGTGTGGCTTTGTGCATTCCCAAATGCACAAAGGGGGGGTCGTTTCTCTGATATCTGAGTTTAGTTGATAGATGTGGAGGGGAGTTCATTTAATTTTATGAATGGATACCTAATTTTACAGACAATTAATTTCAATTCGTAGTTATTAATTCAACGAATATGCAATTTTTTTTGGTCCGTGTTCTACATTTTGGAGCAGCTGTCTCGCTTCTGGCAGAAAAAGACACACACACACACATGAGTGTGTCATACACCCTACCTCATTACTGGCTTAATAAACCCAAATCACATTCACATGCAATCTTGAGGGAAAAACTCAGAATGATCTTATGATCCTTCTTCCTGTACCTTTTATATGTAATGTCCTCCTATTAATTATTTAAAAAACCCTCAGTGCCTGAATTCAGTGCTTCTTTGCAACAGCGGCTTCGAGAAATTGCATCTCCTAGAAAATTAAACCTGTGGAGTGAAACCAATGCACTTAGCTGTTTATACAATTTATAGCTTTTTAATAGTATAAATTTTCAACTATAATAGATTTTCAATGCCTAAATAGACACTAATATATAGAGATATATTTACTGTGGGCAGGAGGCAAAAAAAAAAAAAAACCTCCACCCCCAAACCGACCCTAGACATTATTGGAAAGTCAAAGAGGATGGCTTCATTTTTCTTGAACTTGGCTTTTCTCATTGATCTTAGATTATTTGACCAACCCTAGGCTTATGCAGATTTGTGAATTTGGTTCAGCGGACAAAAGCTGCAATTCTCATATATTAGCCTTGTAAAATGACACGTCTTGACAGAAATAATAGTCCAGGAGCAATCCGGATGAGAGCAATGCTTTGTAAGATCAAGCCATCTTTCAAATGTCTGAGTAGAGTTCAGAAACGTTTTTTAAAAATGCACAGGATAATTAAATGGATGAGTTGAAAGGGACTTTGGAGAGAACACTGCTTGGTGTAGCAATCAGGTGTCTCTCATCTGAACATCTCCAGGAATGGGGAAATCTCATTCCTCTCTTGGGCGGTTGTAAATATGCTCTAGAAATTCTAAAATGCAGATTCTGAGAGGAACTGGCCTGATGCACACTTTCTAGAGTCAGGGGCAGATTGGAATGCCTGACACTACAGTCTCCAAAACTTTGTGGCAGAACATTTGGCCGAAAGATGTGGAAAATGTAGTTAGAAATACAAAAGAGAACATCTGTAGTTCAGAGTTGAACTGTGGAATCCTTAATGTTCCCTGAGCTCAGTGGTTTTCTTCCAGATGTTTCATGACCCAACCAGGTAACTTCATCATTTCTTGCCATTTCTTCCTAGCACTGATGATGTTACCCAGTTGGGTTATGAAATGTTTGCAAAAAAAAAAACAACCAAGTTCAGAGAGCATGAAGGATGTGAAGTTAGAAATATGTTTGAGATGAAGTATTTATAGATACGCATGTCTTTTCAATAGGTGCATTAAAAACTGAATTTAAATACGATTTTTCTTTTGGGTTTTTTTTCAAGTTCAGAGAAATGGTATGTGAGAGATTAATGAACAAGCACATCATAGTATGAAATCAATAGGGAAAATCCTTAATTGTCTATGCCATTTTGAAGCAACATGAAGGTCTGAAATGAAATATTGAGAGGAAGCTAAGAGAGGACTGTTCAGCAGGAATGAAGAATGGGCAGCTTGCCAATATTTGAATGGAAATAATTTTGAAACTTATTGACGTCTTCTTGGTGATATTTTCTTGGCATATCATGGTTTTCTCACCAGAGATATTTAGGTTATGATGTACATTGGTCCATTGATTATTTAATCATAGTAATGGCTTCTTGAAATCTCATCAAAGAAGCTACTACAATGATTAAATAATCAATGGACCAACATACATTATAACTTAAATATCTTTGGTACGATTACTCAGAATCAAGTTCCATTGAACTTGGTGGGGCAAAATCCTTACTCTGGGTGTTTATGTTAGTTCTGTAAATGAAGAGAATAAGAATTAAGGAAGAGGAAGTTGGGAATGGGGACTTTTGTACCCACCCTATAGCTTCTAATCTTTCCTTCTCTCCGTTTCATTCTTTCAATCTCATTGCCACCTGGATTTACTTCTCCACTCCACTCATCTTGTTTTGTTGGCTGTTTCCTCCCCTTATCCTTCCTAGCAACGAGGAGTTGGTCATGGCTCGACGTTTAAGTCAATAAATTGAATGACATTTAACCTGTTGAATCTTAAAAATCAGCTTCAGATTTGCACCCTCAACTTTTCCAATACCTGCCCTGAATGGAACCTTCATCTTACATCATCCACATGGCCTTTTCCTCATGAATGTCATGCTCATCTTTATTATTAGTTGTGGTTCCAAAATATAAATTGTATCTAACTGGCCTTGTCAAAACATGTAATCATCAGTGCCTGGTGATTTCTGGAATTATTCCTCCAGATTACTACAATTTATTTCAAGTATCCTACCTCAATTAGAAATATGGCCCATTAAAAGACTTTTCCGAAAACCATGATGTTTCTAATTTGTTATATTTTTGCTGTACTTAAGATTTTATCCCAAGGAAAGTCTACATATGTAGCCTTTATAGTCTTTCCAGACGCGTGATGAAATATGCAGCGGATGGCATTCCCAGTGCAAATAACGTTCAGCCATTTTAGCCAAGGTCTTTATTCTAAACTAGTTCAAGGAATGTTTTGTTGCTAAAGCCAAAACTTGCAGTATGCAGTGTGGTGGTTTCTTACTTGTGTCCCCAGCATATATTTTACGTGCACAAATGGACAAGTATAATTAAGTTTTTAAGCGCTATTAAAAGAGGGCTTAATAACGCAGCCTCGAACAAGAAAACACCTTCAGGATAGCTTAGAAAGAATTATCGCTTTTATATGAGTGCTCTCGTTTTTAAATTTGGGTCTAGTTTCCTCCAAATTCTGTTCCCTTGGTAATTAAAACCTTGCAGGGTTTCGGTTTTAAAGTTCCTGCTTTTTCATGAATTATTCCACAGTCTGCTGCGGCATCAATGCGTGTGTGTGTGTGTGTGTGTGTGTGTGTGTTTTGTGTGTGTGTGTGTGTATACACATACGTTAACAGGCCAAGCTGGATAAACATTAAAATGGGACTTCAGGTGCCAAAGGTGTAAGAAAAGGAACTGATCCCGAGAATGCCACTATCTTGTTTTCTAACTTTTTACATCGCGAGCTCTGTTAATAACTTTGTTCATCGAGCAGCCCTATAAAACCAAGATGAGGAATAAAGCATGGCACACGAAGAAGCAGAAGCTACTAATCAAAGCGGTTGTGTGACTTTTCTGATCTTTTATCTTTGTTTCTTTGTGGGATTTTTTTTAAAAAAATATTATTCGAACACCACTTGCAATGGAAGAAACATTGCTTGCAACATTGCAAGAGGCAGCCCCCTAAGAAAAACAAATAAATGAGTTACTATAAAATTGCAGGGTAGCAGGGGCGAGGGTGGGATAAACTGATTTTAATCCGAATCATAAATAACGGAAATGGGGTTCCTGCTTGTTGAAAGAAAGGAGAAGCGATAATTTGAAAGAGTGAAAGAAAGGGAGAAATGGAAGGGCGAGGAAGGAACTTAAAACCAACCTTGGTGTAATTTATTATAAGGCAGGAAACAGAAGATGGGGCTGAAACACCCTCTAGTATAAAAGAACAAACTTCAACTTGACTTAAATTTTTCAGCGCACCTGAATACAGAAAGGGCTGAGGTTCATGGAAAACCTTCGCGCGTTTCTTGGGTCTCTATCGCAACTTTTGGGGACTCTGTCACCACTGAACTTCTCCCAGGAATTGGAAGCTTCACAAGCATCTTGGCAGTTAGACTGGTTCTAATTTGACAATCACAATTGAAGATTTTGAGGAACAGCATCTCTCCAAAGATATAGAATAGGGCGACTGGGTTGGAAGGGACCTTGGAGGTCTTCTAGTCCAACCTTCAGCTCAAGCAGTAAAGCCTATACCATTTCAGGCAAATGGCTGTCCAATCTCTTCTTAAAAACCTCCAATTATACCTCCAACTTCTGGAGGAAAGTTGTTCCACTGATTAATTGTTCTTACTGTCAGGAAATTCCTCCTTAATTCCATGTTGCTTCTCTCCTTGATGAATTTCCACCTGTTGCTTCTTGTCCTGCCTTCAGGAACTTTGGAGAATAGCTTGACTACCTCTTCGTTGGGGCAGCCCCTGAGATATTGGAACACTATATATATATATATGGCTCTCTCTTTTCAAATGTGCCAGAATTCTCTTTTTAAGACTTAGCTCCATTCCACGGTCTTGGAAAAGACTGTCTGTGGAACCTCTGGTTATTTTCATTTCTCATTTTTTATTTTCATGTTACTGATGAAGTTTTGCCTGGGAGAATATGTTTGCTTTTAGGTCTTTGTGTAAGTAATGTACGCCATTTTGGAGTCAGGCGGCCTTGAAATCCAATAAACAAACAACAATTTTCTACAAGAAAGGACATCCTTAATACCCTTCACATTGGCATCCACAAAGAAGAGATGAATGAATTTTGAAGACTGCCTTCCACTCCCTCGTTTATCTTTTATCCTCTATGGAGAAGTGTGATGGATAAGTCAACGGCATATTAAAACAGCTATTTCAACTGGCTCTTATCCTTTGGTTTAAGGCACTTAAAGTGGAAGAGGAAGAGGAAGAGGAAGAGGAGGAGGAGGAGGTGGAAGAAGAAGGAGGAGGAAGAGGAGGAAGAGGAGAAGGAGAGGAAAGAGGAGGAGGAGGAGGAGGAGGAGGAGGAGGAGGAGGAGGAGGAGGAGGAGAGGAAAGAGAAGGAGGAGGAGAAGGAGAAGGAGAAGGAGAAGGAGAAGAAGAAGAAGAAGAAGAAGAAGAGGAGGAGGAGGAGGAGGAGGAGGAGGAGGAGGAGGAGGAAGCATTACCCAGGATGGACAGGAAGGTGTTCGCTCTTTCGGGCTCGAGGGGGCTGTCACTCAGTTGTGCCTCACAGACGTACAATCCCAGGTCAGCTGAAGTTGGGTTTGCAATGGCGAGACGTCTGCCAGTCCTGCTGACCCCACTGAGGATTTTCCCATTCCTCTTCCAGGTGATACTTAATTTCTCAATGGGCCTAGGAGAGGGGGTAAAAAACACCTATCTGTTATTGCTTTGACATAAGTGATGGCTTTAAACATCACTCCACCAAGGAAGGAGCCCAAGTGTGCAGAGAATGAAGGGGCTTAGAAATAGGTTCAGAAGCAGCTCCCAGACCTTCCCCCCCCTCTCTCTTTCTGTGTGTGTGTGGGGTGGGGGGTGGGGGTGGGCGTGGCTTAGCTCAACTGTTCTGTACTAAAGCTGCTTGGTGTTGTGGTCGTAAGTCAAGGACTGCCTGTATTGCTTCTTAATACTGGAAACTGAAGACAATCATCCCAGTAGGGTCAAGGCAAGAAGGCTAGATTAGGGCATGCCGAAGAAGCTCTATCTCCTCTCTCCCCCAAGAGAGAAGAGTGATGTGGCGCAGGGTGACCATCATGGCCCTGTTGGAGTCCGAGAAGGAAGTCAGCCAGCTGAAAGGGAGTGGGAGTATGGCTCCATTGGCTGTGGAAGAAACTGGAGAACGGCAAAGTCCGGTGGGCAGAGCAGGGAAGAGGTAGAACAAGGGAGAGGGAGTTCAGAGGAAGACGCAGGCCCACCCCCTCTTCATCCTAGGGCACACAGGGAGGAACGGAGAAGAGATTGTGTTGTGTGGCTTACGGGGAAGGAAAGGGCCCTGATTCCCTTCATTAGCCACAGCTGGGAAGACAGTTGATAAGAAAGTCAGGCTGCGTGTGGCAGGCTGCTGGGAGCAAACGTGACTTTATCCTGTGTTGTCGTGGCTTATCTGTGTTCCTGGCGTCTTCCCAACTGTGTAAGTTTAGCTGTGCTTTCAAGCCTGAAATTCTTGCTCCTGCCCTGCCAAACTAATTACCACAGTTTGGCTTGTTCGGACTTTAAGTTACAGTTTGTATTGACCATGTTTTGGACTTCATTTTCTGCAGTCAAAGGCTGTTCCTGGGAGAGTTTTTCTCCAGCCAGAAAGTAACCTGGACATTGGGGGCAAAGTTGGAGATAATAAAGGGACTCTTATTGAGTATCTGACTGTGTTGCCTTTCTGCCACGCCCTTTTGGGTCATCACAGCAACTTTGAAGAGTTCTGGGAGTTGAAGTCCACAGCTCTTCAAAGTTGCCAAGGCTGGACAGCCCTGATCTAGCCTCTCAATAAGCAAATACACATACAAAGTTCAAATAGTCACTGGAGCCTCTGAACATCTGCTGTTCTTCTATGTTGTCCATCAGCAGGGCAGGCTCCAGTGACGTCCAACAGCCATGTTTAATTATAATGGTAATTTTACTTTTTCATGCTAATGGTTTGTTTTGCCTAAGGGAAGGATGGTAAAAAATAAATGCTACTCAGGGGGTACATCTGTATTGAGAAATGCTTCCATTATAATTCAATTATAAATAATTGAAAACAATTGAAATCTCTGCTTTCGGAGGAAAAAGGCGATCGGATGGCTCCTCCAAGCATTTCCTTGCTTATTCAGAAGGAAAGCATGCTCGTTCCCGGTTTTATTAAGCCCTATTTTGGGTAGAATGGTTGCCCAGCAGTCAATACCTTGATTTCTCTTTTTCCAAGCATTTATTTTTGCCCCCAAAAGTGGAACAAAGTAAGAAAAGTCATTATTGATTTTAAAAAGTGATTAGCGCTCTGGCCAATTGTCGCAAACGGTGGGCCCAGATGAGGTAAATCTGGGGTTTTCTGTACCGTAGTAGTTTCTATACAAATAATTGATCTAATTATTTTCCTTTTCTCCTCGTTGTTGCCAGGGTAAAAATGAGTACCACTCAAGTGTGTGTGCGTAAGAAAGAGAGGTGTGTTTATGTGTGTATGAAATTACACACACACACACACACACACACATAATATCTCTCAAGATTTCTGCAAAGCAATCTGCATTTTAAAAATCTGCCTATTCTACCTCAGAAGAACACATATTTGGGGGGTTGAGGGGAAGGGATAGGAGGGAGCGAAGCAAAGTCTACATTGCCTTCTGCAAAATTCAATTTCCCATGCAAGAAATGTCCTTGCCTCCTGCTTCAGCCTTCGCTTGTTCTCCCACGAAGCTCGCGCTTGTCGGTGGCTGTGTTTACCTTACCTGCCATTGGCCAGACACTCCAGGATGGCTTCATTACTCCCAGTGGTTACACTTGAGTTGCGCGGAGGGATTACGATCACAGGATTCACAGCATTGGTTGAGGCATCGGCACCTGTAAAGGGGAGGAGGAAATCCCCATGAGTTGGAGCCAGTGGGAAGACCAGCAAGGAGTCAAAATGCCAAAAAGGAGAATATTTTGCAGCTCAAAGTTGAAATGGAGGCTCCTTGCTGCCCTCTGAGCTTGGTAGTTTTCTTGCAAATGTTTCATGACCCAAGTAGGGAACATCGTCAGAGCTAAAAGGGAGTGGGGTTTATGGAGGAGAAAGACTATGGGCTCCTTGGTGCTTTCTGAGTTTGTTGGGTTTCTTGCAGACGGTTCATTACCCAACTAGGAAATATTATCAGTGCTAGAAGGGAGTGGGGCTTATGGAGTGCATGAAGAAGAGGACTTAGCGCTCTCTAAGCTTGGTTATTTGCTTGCAGGTGTTTCATTACCCAAACTAGTGCTGGATAGCACTGCTAATGTTACCTAGTAAGGACAATGAAACATCTCTAAGAAAACAACCAAGCTCAGAGAATGCCAATCCTCCTATTGTTCCTCCTCCTCCTCTTCTTCTCCACAAAATCCCCTCCCTTCTCGCACTGATGATGTTACCTAGTTTGGAATTATGAAACATCTGCAAGAAAACCACCAAGCTCAGAGAGCACCGAGAGCACCTCAGGAGTTAAATGTTCACCCAGATCGTCATTTATATTGAACGTAAGAGCTTGATGGGTGGTGGGATCCATCTCTGTTGTTCTCTGCTCCCAATTAGGACTGGCAGGGCTCCAGGCCATTCCATTGTAGATCCCCCCACAATGTATATTGTACTTGAAGTTTCCTGTCACTGGAAGCAAAGCAATTTCTTTTTCTTTTTTTCTTTTCCTCCGCTAACCACGCACTTCTATTTTTATCAACCACTTGCTGTCTTATATTTTTAGGATCTTTTCATGTTTTGTTGAATCTTGCGAGTTCCCTGCGATTTCAAAATGAGGCTGTCAGGGTCCAACGAGTTCTGTTTTTTTAAAAAAAAAACTTTTTTTTTTTTTAAACATACACTGGGGAACAAAAACGAAATTAAGAAAGCAGCAGATCACAACAATTTCAATCCTCTTTCCTTATCGGAAAAGTAAATAATCCAAATCAGCTTCTCTTTTGTGAGTCAACAAACTGTAAATAATTTAGCTTATGCCGTCCTCAGACATTTTTAGGAAAAAAAAAAAAAAAAAGGCTGGCAGAAGTAGGAGGGGAATCCTGCCAAGTTCGCCGTGTTTCTTTTTTAAAAATTTCAGTGAGTGTATTTAATAAGTAAATTAAAATACCAATATGTTATTGCTTTGCTTTGAGCTATTCATTTGGGGAAAACACAATATTATTTCCCTACATGAACAAGAGAATAATAACAGATTGCTAAAAATAAGAACTGCAATGAAAGAGTTGCGAAGGGAAGGAAAATTAAACTATGTCTAAACCAATGAAAATCCAAACTGGCTCATCAAACACTATACATTAAGGCAGCTTAGCATTATAAAACCCCAAATTATAAGTTAATGCAATTTAGAAGTCGCTACTGAAATATTTCAAATCCTTCCATCGCGAGTGAAAACATCTATTGTGACAAAGCAGAGGGCGAGAAAAAGAACTTTAACAAAGAATTTGGTTCCTTTTACATCTTTAGTGGAATAATATTGTAATTTAGGATACACACAGGAGAAAACAATGGCAACAAACAGGGGGAGAAAACAATGCTGCGAATACCACGGAACTGGAGCCATTGTTAATCTCCCCAGATTTGAACTGTTCACAGAGAAGCCAGCATTCAGATGTAATCTGTGATTCTGTGTTCAGCCACAAACCCTCCACCTTTGCCCACATAGCTGTACTTTCTAAGCTTCATATTCCTGAGAAGTACACGTGCGTGAAATATATGGACCCACCCCAAGCCTTGAGCCTGGGGCGCTGGATCGCTTTCCGATTTCGGCCTCAAAATCTTTCCAGAAGCAAGAAGCTTGTGGCTTGGCTAGCATGACCCTGTGGCCGGTTTGCCTGGCTTCATGCTGTTGACTTAAAGTGCCCATGCTTGTTAGGTGAAGATCCACGAAAGAGAGAAGGGTTGGGGTGTTTGGTGGTCTCTGAGCTTGCTTGTTTTCTGGCTCATGTTTCATTACTCAAACTAGGTAAGATCGTCGGTGCCAATAAGGAGTGGAGAGGAGGAGGAGGAGGAGGAGGAACTGTAGGGTCCTTGATGTTCTCTGAGCTTGGTTCTTTTCTGGCAGACCTTTCATTACCCAATTCAGTAACATCATCAGTGCTAGAGAAGGATTATGAGGTTTGGAAAGAAAGGTCCTATCCAAAGCAACGCGGACACATCTGGTATGGTCTTGGCGATTGCCTCATGATGTTGAATTCTCCCCAGGCAGAGAAGATGAGGGCCAGACAAGAAGCAATGGATGGAAGCACCTCAGAAGGAGACCCAACCTGGAACTAAGCAGGAAATTCCGGACGGGAAGAATGATTAATCAATGGAACTGTCAGCCTCCCAGAATCGTGAGCGTTGAAGGCGTTCAACAAAAGATTGGATGGCTGTTTGTCCAAGATGGAATAATGACTTCTGCCTAGGGAAGGGGGTTGGACTAGAAGACCTCCAAGGTTCCTCCCAGCCCTAAGATTCTATGATGAGTCTGGAAGAGGACAGTCCAGATAGGCCTCAGAAAGAGACTGATATTTGTTTCTAAAGAACAGCAATGCTGCGCTTGAATAACGGGAAATGAAAAGGTGGCAGTATTATTGAGGACTAAAGGCAAACATCACATTCACATTATATTGCAAATGGGCCAATATTCTTCTGCATATTCACGGAGCACCAAGAAAACCTCAACGGTTTAAGGATGTGGATTATTCTTTTGATAGGGCATCCACTTTTATGATTTATTTCGTGCAATTTATACTTCCTTTCCCTGTAGAACTGAATATACAGAAAGATCTCATTTCTAGAATTGGGATAGAACTGAGAGACTGGAACATCTGTCTCTCTGTCTTTCTCTCTCTCTCTCTCTCTCTCTCACACACACACACAAAGGAAAGTATTCAATGAATGTGTGTCCTCTTTCCAGGTTCAATGCTCAGGTTCACCATAGCACTACGTTTGTTTTTTGTGTTTTTTTTAAAGCAGGGGAACGATTAGAATGGACTAAAATGAGGAAAGGCCAAGAAAGACAGATTTAATTTGGCAATACATTCACCTCTGTCTCTCATTCCCAAGCATTGTTGGGGGGTTCCCTCCTGCCCCCAATTCTTCTAGCACTTCAAAAGGAATCAAAGAATCAATGAGGACCTGGGCTGACTTCTCGCCATTCATGCTTCGAGAGTCTCTTTGTGCCTAAAAAGATGAGTAGAAGAGCCAGAATGACAGCAGTGAGATGGATACAGGCCAGGCTTCATTAGCTACTTACTACTAATTGCAACGAGAACAACAGTGTCCAGCATCAATGCTTATTTCATTTCCATTCATCTTATGTACTAGAAGCACCCTATTAGCAAAATTAGTCATCTGATAATGGTTTCTGAACTTGTAGAGTTAAGATGAGGCCGATAAGGACTTAATATATTTCCTTTGAATCCTGGCACTATGGAAGAATAACGGCAGCCTTTTATCTCATGGAGGACTAATATATATATATTCCTAGAATAGAATATGCTGCACTCTTCAATTATACTCAACTCATCAACATAGTTTTGTGATCGGCTCACAGGAGGTCAACCAAGGGAGGAGTGATTAACCAATGTATAAACTCTTCATGTGTTAGAAAGGCTCTCATAATTAGGTGTCCACTTTCTTTTGGACTAGAACATATTTTTATTCCCCTTTGGTGAGTTTGAATCTGCTTACTGACATGCCATCATGCGCTCCTTGATGACTCAGCTGATGAGGAGAAAGCCAATGATGTTATACAGTCATACACAAAGAATAACAGACAATATAGTCAACAGTGTTTTCTTTGCAAATGACAACACAGCTCAGTTTTTTTTTAAAGTAGGTAGACCCTGAAACACAATCTTCCTGGCCTTGTCTGAAAGCCATCAAAGACCCAAAGAACAGACAATCTGTCTTTCTCAAGGAAAGGACAGAGAAGCTCCCATTTTTACTAATCCACATCTACACTTTGATATAATGGTCTTGATGCCAACTTCTCCATATTTGGAAGAGGTCATTAAACTTAGGGATGACAAGGGGAAATTTATTGGATTACCCCAGTCTTACAGAAATGACAGTCCAGGAAGAGACCATCTCATGGTTACCCCCAAGGCCTAAAAAGTTTGCATGACTATTGCCGTCAGGAATCCAAGGACTTTAGCCTGGAAACCATCACCTCTGTCAATAGAGATGTAAGACAGGAGCAGGCAGAGCTGGGTGGGTGGAGTTAAATGCGTCATCAGTTTACAGTCCTTGCATTGCCACAAGAGATCCAAGCGCAGACCCTTCTTGAATTCTCTTTATCTAACACCAATTTAGTGCTGACTGTTAGTTGACCTGATTCTTCTGTATAAGTATGAATAAATCTTCCATGCTGCAGTTTTACATCTGATTTTGATTCTTTGCACCTGACCGATGGAGGAGATGGGGATGATAAAGATGGAAATGAGGAGATATCAGCGCCTAGGAGACATCTCCCCACAGAAGAGAGGCTAACTTAAACCAACCCGCTTAAGTCTTACATTTAAGGCAACTGTGATTGCCTGTTGGTGTATGAGGTTGTGTGTCCATTATTTTGCTGGCAAACAAATACTATTTGCAAGCAGACCACAAATGTAGAGTTGACCTCAGCACTTTGGACAGGGAATTCTACCAATAGAACTACTCGTTATTAGCAAGCAAATTCTCCATTCCAGAGACATTTTGAAAAGTATTGCAAGCCCCTGAAAGCTATGGAAAATTAAGCCACATATTTCAGCACTTTCTAGTCAGAACTTGGCTGCTCACCTCAAAAGCAGGGATAATTTCTGTTCCCTGTTCTGAACTCACTTTCTAACAACTCTTTGCATTCAAAAAGCAATTTGGGAGTTCAGACTGT